GCACAAGTCAGAGACAGACCGGTCTGGGCCATGTTGGGTTGACGCGGTCGGACTCAGAGATGTCGCGAGCATCCTCTGTATCCAGGTCACGAACGGAGACGCCCGATGTCGAGCTGGAGCCCGAAGCTGATCTCTCCGATGATGCAAATCGCGATGCGCACTTCACACGGAGGATCATGCAAGAAACAGGCCCTTGTATACGACTCTCGCTGGCCACTTTGAAGCTCTTCGAACGTGTGCATCTTGTCTTTTACCGCTCTACCGAGTGGACCGAGAAGTCATTGACAACCATCATCTTGGCGAAGATTGCGCGTTGGAACTTTCCAGAGTATATTGTCTCTCGATCTGCGAACATCTTCGCCTCTCGGTCCCTATTGCTCGAGTATGAGGCTTCTATACGAACGCAGTACCGGACAGATAGCATCTTGGAGTTCAACGGAAGACCAACGGAGAAAGGATATCAAGAAATTTTGGATACCTTTGAGGAGGTATACCCCCGCTGGCAGGTGCTTGTCCAAGAAGAGCAGCGGAAAGAGGACAGCGTCTACCACAGTGGCGAAGGGTCATACCTTCGTCGTCTTTCACCAGCTTGGGTATACACGCGCATCATTCACAAGACACTTGACATACTCAGACGACGGAAGGAGCATAGGCGCGAGCACGAACTCTTGAATGAACTGCTGCAACAGCGACTGTTCCATCATTCTCGCAGAGGAGCTTGGTATCAGCGCAAAGCATTGCTTGAAGAACACTACATGGCCGCCTTGACCGATGCGGAGAACAGAAGCGCAGAGAAACAAAAGAGGCATTGGAAGCTTATTGCTTTGCAGACCTGTGAAGACGGGTTGCAGGATAACCTTGTGCATATTATTTATCACTATGATTTGCAGAAGCGTATCACCAAACTTGAATTGTCTCTGAAATTTGTTAAACGATTGCAACATGACTTCTCACATGTTCGCTTGACGAAGCCGGTCGAAGTTGTTATGGAGGGAACGCGCATCGAACGTGAAAGACCCTCACTGTCGAGACGGAATAGTTCACCACATGCGAAGTCGGGTCGACGGGGTGGAAAGACGATATGGATTGATCCGCGTGAAGACGGCGAATGCTCGGTCGAAGCAATGTGTCTTTCGCATTACCGTAACCAGGGCTGGAAAGGCTATCACGCTGAAGGTGGTATCGTACGCACGCTTTTCGCATACTTGTTCTACGACGTCCTATTCACCTACGTACCCAATGTCTTCCAGACTCCGTACCAGACCTGTCCGTTGGACCTACATACCGACGCCTTCTATCCCTCTCGGATATCCGAGATCAACGCAAGGTTGAACGAGATATCAAACGGCGACGCACCCGCCATCATCCAAAGAATCTACGACGACCACCATGAGCGTCGGACTTGCGTTGTAGGTCTGGACTGGACATACGACGTTGTTGATCTGCTTGAGATTGCTCGCTGCTTTGACGGCGAGGCGTTGGCAACTGTGTGCAAAGTCATGGCGCAAGAGTATGGACAGAGAGGTGGCGGTGTACCCGATCTATTCCTTTGGCGAGTCCCAGAAGAAGAGGGGAAGAAGGGCGAAGTCAAATTCGCGGAGGTGAAAAGTGAGAACGACCGTTTGAGTGACACACAGAGGCTTTGGATACATGTGCTCTCTGGGGCGGGAGTGACGGTCGAGCTTTGCGCTGCCGTGGCTAAAGAGGTGAAGGTCGTTTGAAGTGAGAGAAGAGGTGGTGCGCACCTTCCGATATTGCAAAGCAATCCATGGATGACATCAGAGGGCTGTTTGCTCTCACTAGCCCGGTTGGACTGTTTTCGTAACCTTGGAAACCACCTTCGACGCTCCTTCTGCTTTGCTCACCACCAAGCTTGAATAGCGTACGAAACACCACGATGCTATGGGTGCCATGCAACGACGCTCGATTTGCTCAAGAAGCAGCAGTCATGTAAGTTATACGGTACTTTCGCGCTGCCCAGATTATAACTAATATCGCTGCAGCTCCACGCGCAACCAGCGAGAGTCGGCCTTTCTGCGTCTCCCGGGCGAGATCCGCAACCAAATCTATGCCCATGCGCTTTGCCAGACCACGATCCCCACATTCTCGGAGCTTTACAAGATAGATACTATTCGCTGCCTACCTCTCCCCGCGGATCTGCAGCTCCTCGCCGTCAGCCGTCAAATCCATGCTGAGACGCGCCTCCTACCCTTCAAGCTCCATGCTTTCCAGATGTCGCCCAAGGATATTGGCATATTCATCAACAAACTCAGCAATGCGCAGCGAGATGCTATAACCACGTTCAGGGTCCCTAGAAAAGCTTTCGAGTTCTCCAGTGGCGTTATCCCGGTGATTCACAGGCATCCAACGCAGAACAATGCATTGGCCGCCCTTCGAACTCTGGAAACAATGAGAGGCCTCGAGCGCGTTGTGATCTATGGCTGCTTTTCTTGGGACAACAACGGCTGCGTTTCTTTGGACAGTGTGAATAAAAATGTGTGGACTCAGCACGTAGAAAAAGAAGTGTCTGCGTGTATTCGTCGCTGTGCTGGAAACCCAGAGATCAGAGTGGTATTCGAGTACATCAATTGGTAGTTTTTTTCCTTGGACGGGAAGCGGGGTTTACACTCTTCTCTAGGGGGCTCGGAGATCGTAGATGACAAGATTACACACTACATTTGGACTACACAATCGCTTTTCGTTATTAGATCTACACATAATCTCCCGATATTTCCGTTTACTCTCACTCGCTTCATATACCTGATCAGTCTACTTGTACGCCATAATGACTAGGCTTGCAGTTCCTAATGTGCGACTGCGTGTCGGATAAATAGGATATCTGGATCACGTTCGTGTTGTGCCTGAAAGCAGAGTGATTTGTGAGATATATTATGCCCACTCAACGGAAGAATAGCAAGGTATCTTGTGGTTCAACAGCCCCGCCTATTCGCATCAGGGTATGCTCTCCTCCATGTCGTGTCTCAAGTTGCTTGCTTCAAGCAGGGATATCAGATGCTCTTCAATGCAGTACTTGGCCCCATGAACTCCATCATATAAAGTCAACCTTTTGTAGCGTGCACTGCCAAACGCTTGCGTACGCCCATTCCTGCGCCGTGTATATGCTAATCGAAATCGTCGGGATTTGGTTCGTAACGTGTATGCGCCGCGCTCAGCCGAGGACCAGTAGATAGATTATCATGAGGGTGTTGATCAACATCAATGGTACTGCATTGTGTCAGCAAATGTGTCCTGGCTTTGTCTTCCACCTCTCTAAGGGACGTGGGTATGGAGAGGATGGAGGGGTACACGTACACCTCATGAGCGTCCGTACTGAGGATACGAGGTTGATCAGTCGCGCCTTTATACTGGCATCGTCGCGAGGGCCGCCGAAACCGGGTTCTGCTGCAGATGCTGTCCAGCCGACTGTGTCCTGGTCAGTTGGATGCTCAATTGTAGATTCGCGTGTGCCAGTGGATGCGTAGATGCGCAAAGGTCGCGGTGGGTCATGAGGACGTGGTAAACGTACTGCGTGCGAGGAAGCGGTCTTCGGAGAGGATTGCTATGGCGTTGACAAGGAGGACCGCGACTGCGCGTATTAGCGAGCGAATCTATCGGATGCGACTTCACATGTAATACCTGTGAACAGTCCGCCGAGCCCGAAGAAGAACATTTGTAAGCTTTGGACAGGATCGAATTGTTGTGTCGTGCACTAGGAGGTGTGAAGAGGGTATCGCTGAGAGCGCAAGTGTTGATGTAGCTGCCTAGCAGAAAGACAGTTGTCGTCCTGGGCTTCAACATCACCATCATCGGGATTATGTAAGCGCAACGCCTACCACAGCGTATCCGCAAGCAGCTCGGGCTTCTTAACAGGACAACGCCGCAATAAAAGGGCAGGGGAATACGGTGTGCGCTATGTCTGCTTCAGTACCAGTTCCGCATGTGCGTAAGTTATCGTGATCTCGGAAGAGATACATTCGCATCGTGATCATGGGAATTTCTCGATTGCCGTGCATGGCTTGTCAATCGCGTTTAGAGAAGGCGGCATTCTAGACCGCCAGTCGATCATACCCAACCTCAACAGAAGACCGTGAACATTAGTGGAGATCATTATCAGATCAAATTGTCGACATGTTCAATACACACAATGTAATGCCCAGTTCAAGAATGATAGAGACAAGACGGGGAAGTACCTAGGTACCTACCAAGGTAGCCGTGGAGACCCTTAACCGAACAGTGTTCAGCCCACAATGATCGACGTCGCATCAGCCAAAGGAATCGACCCCCCAGATCTCGCGCCAAACAACCGACAACCATGTTCCGTCGAATGGCAGAGCTCGGGCATATTCCCCATGGCCGCTACGGACGCGCGCCGTCTCAAAGGTGCGTCGACTTCTTTCACCTGCCAAATTTGCGTCATTGCTATAGCACCCGGCATGCCGGAAGCGTGATTCTAGAACTTCGCGACATCTCTGACCTTCACTCATACGTTTTCCTGGTGGTGCCTTTGTGTGCTTGTCGCCTTTCTCGATTCACTTTTCACTGCATCGGTAGTTGTTACCTTGGTAGCGTCTGTCAGGGTCTAGACTTACCGATCGACCCCTCGTATAGCGATCACCGAAGCGCGTCGACAAACACCGCCCAACATCTTTCCACGCCGCAAACTCGCACTTCTCTCTCCCGATCTCGAATACGGCTGCGCGCGACACATCTTATGATCTGGATACGGCGTTTACTCCATGTTGTTGACTGGTCTGGTTGAGGCGCTCGGAATCGGCTCTATCTTCGGCAGTCGCCACGGTTCGCGGATACACGAGTCGCATCACAACCCTACGCGGCCATAATACTCGCGCCACCACACCACCGTGATCATAATGACAGAGACCGACAGCGGCGATGGCGGCTACTTTCCTATGGGAGAGCGCTCTCGCTCCAGATCTGCGTCTCCCAGCTCGATTCGTAGCGACTCAATGTCAATCCATCTCACAGAGCCGTCAGCCACCATGGCTGCATTTACTGCGCTTCAGTACTTGCCAGTACCGGTTCTTGTCTTATCTGCCCAGAAGACCGTAGTGCTTGCAAACGAGGCCATGGGTCGCCTTTTTGGTATTGACTTGGAAGGTGATCATGATCTTTCAATAGCGGAAGCGTTGCAGGACAAGACTATGGGTGATCTTGGTGTAGATATTCTACAGAACGGCTCTCCAATTCTGATCACATGGGAGGTTCGTTATAGTCCATGCATTTGCCCATGGATAACCATTTAACTTTTGTAGAGCTTTCTGGATTGCGTAATCGACGACTCAATAGCAAGCAGCTTAGACGAAGATGGAGATTCTCATATGGGCAGCGGCCACACCACACCGACCGCAGCGACCATGCCATCTCTAGGAGAACCCCAGTCAACAAAACCATTGCCGCGCCTGAGCAGTACAAACCTTGCGCGAACAATGGTACGCGACGTATCAGTAGAGGTGGTCATTGCGCCGCTTTCTTTGGATCCCGACGGCACTTTGAAAAAGTCAGAAAAAAAGAAAGATTACGAGAATGCAATGCAGGCATCTTGCATCATATCCATCTGGAGCATTGATGATAACCAATACTACACGCTGACTTTCACAAGTGCAGTAGCTGCTGATAGGGCGCCACCACCCACCAGTCGTATAGTCACTCGTACAAACACAGGAGCTCGCCTCGACAAGTCACGAAGTTCGGGTTCGTCGAGCTCTTCCTCAGGCCGGCGTTCGGGAAGCAGTTCGAATTCGACTTCGAAAGCCGTTACGCCTACTCTACAGCAGCCAGAATTTCCACCTCGAGGCCCTCCTACTAGGGGCAAGGCCGACATTGCGAATTCAGCCTCTATATTCCAAAAGGCAACACAACTCAAGGATGCTATCCTGAACTCTATTACCATGCCCGCATACGGTATGTATGATTCCACACCTACCTGAGAATCCCTGACTGACTCTTTCACAGCAATGTGGAAAGACCAAAGCTTCGGGATTCCAAACAAAGCCCTCCTGCGGCTACTTTCGAAAGATTCCACCTATGCGCCCGGAGACCAGCTAGATTTTCTCAGCCAGTTCAACTGTTGGACCGAAGATTTCCAGCGCCTTCTCAACCTCGATGAGTTCCCCATTATTGAGGTCTGCCGTACACGAGAGAGAGTCGGAGGACGGCGCATCGGTATGCGGCATCCGCTTACAGGTACTCGGATTGTGTATGAGATCAACGGCGAGCCTGTATTCCACGAAGAAACTGGGGATTTCCTTGGTGGTATAGTGATCTTCAAGGATATCACCGAGTATACCAAGCAAATTGCCGCCCAGATTGAAGAGAACGAGAAGCAGTTTGAATACATTGCAAACTTCATGCCGGTCATGGTATGGACAACTACGCCTGATGGGCTTCACGACTGGTTCTCTCAACGGTGGTATGACTACACAGGGTTGACAGTCGATCAATCAATAGGCGAAGGTTGGCGCCTACCGTTCCATCCAGATGACATGGCAGCGACCGCTCAACGTTGGTTCCACTCTCTCAAGACAGGCGAAGAATACAACACAGAATACAGATGCCAGCGCTATGATGGAGAGTGGCGCTGGATGTTAGGACGAGCTTTGCCCTTTTACGACGACTCCGGACGCATAGTCAAGTGGTTCGGCACATGCACCGATATCCACGATCTTGTCTTGGCTCGTCAAGAGGCTCGTCAAACAAGAGAGCAATTGCAGCAGGTCATCCAGCACGCGAAAATTGTCCTCTGGGTTATTGATCGCAACAATGAGGTCAAGGTCCTGGAAGGCGATATGGCCGCTACCGAACGAACCAACAAGGAAAAATTGGTTGGAAAAAATGTTTTCGATGTCTTTGAGTTGCCCAGCAATGATCGAGCGCGATGGCATGGACCTATTCAGGAGATCCTACAGGGAAAACAATCAGCTGAGATCGTGAACGGGAGATACATGTCGGAAGCTCGCTACTACCGGACCCGTCTAGTACCGCTCATGAGCACTTCCAGGACTGCAGGCGTCGACGGCAATACTTTTGTGAATGGTGTGATCGGTGTTTCTATGGATATAACCGAGCTGCGAGAAAGAGAAGAACAACTCAAGGAGCAAGAGAAGGAGAATTCGAGGCTCCTGGCCAACGAAGCGGCAGCGAAAGAAGCAAGTCGGATGAAGTCGCAGTTCTTGGCTAACATGTCACACGAGATCCGAACACCTATCGCTGGCGTAATTGGCATGTCTGAACTCCTCTTCGATATGAACCTGGACGAGGAACAGAAAGAATGTGCCGAGAACATTCATCGAAGCGCCAACAGTCTCTTGACGGTAATCAACGACATTCTGGACTTTTCGAAAGTTGAGTCAGGACGGCTTGACGTTGAGGAGGTGCAGTTCAGTCTCAGCGTCGTCCTCCGAGACGTGAACAAGGTATGTCGCAGACTACAGCGTATGACCTCATTGTCCTTACTGACCCGCTCAGATGATGTCTTTTGCTGCACAGAGGAAGGGTCTGGATTACCAGAGTTCCATACAAGATGAGGTTGGGGCAGACCTGCGCGTAATGGGAGATCCAGGCAGATTACGGCAAATTCTCACCAATGTGCTAACCAACAGCATCAAGTTCACCTCGGTGGGTACTGTAAGACTTGCCGTCTCCATCAGCCAAGAATCAAAAGATATGGTCACGGTCAACTTCAACGTTGAGGACACTGGGATTGGTATAGAAGAGGAGGTCCGCAAGCGACTATTCCAGCCCTTTAGTCAGGCAGATTCGTCCACGGCTCGACGATTCGGCGGAACTGGCCTGGGTCTAACCATCAGCAAGAACCTTGTTGAGCTCATGAAAGGTCAGATATGGCTGGACTCGAAGCTGGGGCAGGGTACTACTGCTACTTTCTGGATACCATTTACTCGCGCACCCTCGCAAGATGGAGAATCACCCTTGGTTCATCTAGAGTCAATTCCGGATCGACTTCAGAGCGACATGTCAGTCTCATGTGGCAGCTCGGAAGGCCATACACCGCCGTTGACACCGCAACTTCCTAATGGGAACTCATCATACCCGTTGCTCAAATCAGCAATTCCGGATCATCTGATGAGCCTTCCCGACAATGAAAGGCAGGAGATTCACGTTCTCGTTGTCGAGGACAAGTAAGTTGCGCTTGAGCATGTTCTCATGGAAAAGGTGATTAACAAACGACCAGTCACATCAACCAGCAAATCGCGCTCAAGACGATCAAGAAGCTTCACTTCTCGGTCAATGCAGTGTGGAACGGCCAAGAAGCTTTGGAGTATCTAATGCAGGAGTTCGGCCCTTCGCACCCACGCCCGGATATCATCCTGATGGACGTTCAAGTGAGGCAGCTTCGTACGAGACCTTGCACGTGTTGCTTGCTGACAGAAAATGCAGATGCCTATTCGAGACGGTTACTCCGCTACCCACGCAATCAGGACAGAATCGCCGTGGCGCAATATGCCCGAAATTCGAGGTGTTCCGATCGTAGCCATGACGGCTAGCGCGATTCAGGGCGACAAGGAGAAGTGTGTATCGTGTGGTATGGATGTAAGTTTTCACCAGGCACATCTTCAGATTCGTGATATAGGAGATGCTAAGACTCAGCAGGATTATCTCGCCAAGCCAGTCAAAGGGAAGCTGCTGGAGAAGGTAGGTTTCCCCAAGCCAACTGGTGGGTCCGCTAACAATCATAAGATGCTTGTGAAGTGGGCACTCGAAGGCCGGCGAAAGACGGCAAAAAGCAAACCGCCCACAAACGGCAATGATCGACATGGCGTCGCAACCCCAAGCTCCAAGGTGGGCTCTAGGGCAAAAGATCACCCGCGAACGGCAGACTTGTCGGTTGAATCTGAAACAACGGCGCAGGCATTGACCGCTGAACTTGACCGCCTCCACTATCAGAGCGATGCAGCATTCACAAGGTCCAACGAGAACGAGGGTGAGAGGGCCATGCGGCGTATTCACGCTGAGGAAAGAGACACGAAATTGCGCGACGAAAAACTGCTTTCGTTAGTCGGGCCACAGCTCATCCGTCACAACAGCTCTCAGGGGCCACACAACGAACCATCGATGCCTCTGACCGAGGCAAACATTGAGAAATTGGCCCATGAACAAGAAACAGACTCTCTCACAACAAAGAAGCCCGGTTCTCTGGATGAGGCCGACTCGAATAGGGCAAACAATGCTCATAGTATGAGCAACGCGAGACAGGCTACCTTGGCGCGACCGGGGCTTTCAAATTCGCGCCTCCATGACAGTGAACGGACGGTCGTTGAGCACGTCACTCGATGAAATGCTCAGAGACGAATGCTCCATCATGACCACCGTCATTTCAACGTCGATAGAGCCTCGACATGTCGGGAAGACACCCGCGCCTTCCTTCCTTTTAGAGACGAAGCATTGACAGCGCACAGCTGCACCACTTGCTCGAAAGGTCAAGTCAGTCTGCAAGAAAGAAGTCATGCAGATACGCTTAGACACTCAACCACAGTACCGGAAACTTTTCTGAAAGATAGGGATGCATCATAGGGTAGCGACAGGAAGTTAGATGCTGGTGGTGCTCGGCGACCATGCAGCCTCACTTCATTGGCAGGGCTTTCAATGCCAATGCATAACCTGACCCGTTCAGGCCCCGAGATGCGAAGACCCATGCGATGTTCTGGCAGAAAGGAGAATGCAGCTTTCCTCATGCAGCATGCACGTGCTCGGGGAGATCATGTGCATCTGATCACATCCTGGTAGTCCGATGATTCTCCTTGAAGCCGGTCAAAGAATGAAAACGTGGATTTCGACTCGAGTCAACTGTCAGAAGTACCCCACCAGCAAGTTAGAAGCATTGGCATTGCGCGTCCTTTCGGGCGCATAAAGGGGAGATAGGGCTGTAGTAACGGCTGTAATGCCGCATAATCTGATTAGGAAAGAAAAAGATTTTGATCTGCGAACCACATCACAATTCTCGTGTCCCTGGTCTCTCGTGTCTCTCGAAGGGGAAAGTGTTTGCTTTTCGTACCCAATTCCTTGGCTTGACAGTGGTGATCATGTACCTTGTCCGTTAGGAGGGCGGGAACTTTCTGGAGATCATGCGATAGAAATCGGACATGCAGAATCTCCAGGTCAAACTTTGTTATGGCACAGACGTGCCTTGCGCAGCCACCCCCAAGATTGACAGCCTGACAGCCCGCGTTACTCCCGCAGTTTCGATGAACGTTACATCGGGCGGGTTGAGAACTCGTAAGTGCGGCTTGCCGAGTCGTAGCGCTCTCTTGGCTCACCACGTTGCCATTGGCTGTAGCGCGCAATTGCACCGCTGCCCGTGACTAGTGTTTTTGCTAGCAAAATGGACCTGGTGGTTAATGTACCAGAGTGTCGGGCGCACTTGATTCGCTGCCTCGCCGACTGCTTTTGTTTTGCGGTTTTACTGCTGGCTTTTTGTCGCTGGTTTAGGCGCTGTTCGGTTCACCTGCTGCCCGGATCTAGCAGGAGTTTGTTCGTGCGCTACGTGGCTATGGAGCGGTTGTTGAGCACTAGCTGCACACCAGCCTCGGCGGAGATGGTTTGCGCAACCAATTCGGTGCTGCGCAGCTTCGTCGTGAACGTGTCCAACACGTGTGCCTGACAATCACTCGCTGCTGATCGATCTCGCAGAGCCGCATATCTGGCTCATATGAAGATCGCGGGGAACGCTTACTGAAGATCTCCAGAACTATGGGATGCTGTTGCACATAGATTGTCTGCAAAGCCGCAGGTATCTGGAGAGGCGGCTTTGCTTCTCCACACGCCTTGTGCTATTGCTCGTATTGCAAAGCTAGTGTGCGATCTCGGAAATAAAAAACAATCCACCCTAGAGCTTATCGAGTACCCAAATGGCTTGGCGGTGGGCGTAGGTGGGCGCAGGATGCTCACAGACAACGGCTAATAAACTTCGGTGATCTGGCATGGCTTGCGAATGCAGGGTCCAATGTCCAAATGCCGAGCGAGCGGCTGCCGACACCCTACGACCTTTGCGACAGCAGATAGCGCTGGGGATGGGTCACGTCCACTTCTTTTTGGCCTGCTGTTCTGATGCTGATGCGATGCACTGCGCGGCGTCAGATGCTGCACTCGATTCACCGGCCACTCGAGTAGGGTACCACTCCCGCCGACAGCTGCACACGCAGAGTAGCGGCAGAGGCAGACGCAGCGAAGTGGAGGCCTGACGCTCAAGTGACTTTGATAGTGCAGGCTGCACGCTCGATGTTGAGCGGGATGGCGCTGCTCCAACAGATCTTGCCCTGCATGACCAGGCCCCGCGGAGCCACGAACACAGTGAGGGGGTTTGCAGAGCAGCTCCGTGCGCTTGAGATGCAAGGCGGCCCTTTTGTCCCAACACCTAACCACTCACGTCGACCAGGCATGCAGCGGTGAGATGGCAGGTTCCGAGTGCATGCTTTCTGCCCATTGCCACTCGTGCTCGCGCTCGCATTCAGACAAAGGCCCCAAGCCACGACGCGCGCTGAACGCCCAACACAGCGTTCTGCCCGCTGGTATAACGCACTGCAACAATGGCTGCTGTGCAGCATGCTCAGTATCCCGGGCGGCAAATCATCTGCATGCTTGACCGCTCCTACATCATCCTGCATGGCCTTCACTGTCGCCAGGTACCGCTTGGGGGCTGCGCCAATGACAGCTCGCTTACGGCCTCTAGCGTCTGCGCTAGGGCGGGCTTCCTATGACGACATTGCCAGCAAGCACCCATGATGCGCCCACATCCTACAGCACCTTCCACCAGCGCGCGTGTCAGCGGGGTGTGCAAATGGGCCTTGGCTCTCATCATTCCTCCCAGCTAACCATCCGGTCCGCGTCAATGACAGGCCGAAGATACGGAGCACGAAACAACCTGCCCCAGGCCAATCGTCGACGCTGTGCTATCGGCTCACGATTTCGTCATTGGTGGATATAGCGACCGCACACACAACCAGCCCTGCTACACATGACGCCTCCATCCCAAGGGCAAGCCGATATTGGGGAGTGCGACTGATTGGAGCTCTGTGGGAAGCCAAAGTGGTGTCTTCCTCAAGACTCGGCCCAGCGTGTGAGTCGAGTACAGTTACATGGTGCCGAGCAGGTACACCGACTGCGACCGACGAGCCTGTGGTGCCCCTATTGGACAAGGCAGTTCCCGAGACTGTCGTGGATGCCGCAGCTCGTGACCCGCCATCTGGCTAAGCTACAGTCGTTGCAGCCAAAGCAACATGGACGGCGATCAAACGCTTGCCCATTGCTTAGGTATGCGCACAGGCGCTGCTTCAGGGGACTAATTTCACGTCGGGCGCTTTTTTTTCCGAGTGCGCCGTGCACGACGGAGAGTCAGGAGAGGGGCGGAACCAACGCTAGGACAGAGGGAGAGAAACTCACAGAGTTCGAGTTTACGCAACAACGTGGAGATAGTTGTGGCGGTCCGACTCCGCGACGCGAAAGCAGCCTCTCCGGCCAGTGTCCGGCGCGATGCACCTCGAAACCGCAAGCTTGCGAAGCCGCCTTTTCGGTCCCTTTCTTGCTTGCGGTGGAGCGTGCTGCTAGGCGACCGTTGTTCTGCAGCGTCGAGTGTCGACAGTCTCAGAAGCAATGCTTAGGGGGTGATCAGATATCGCCAGGATGAGGACACAGGGCAACTCCCAGGCCTGCCGCACTCGTCAGCATTACTGCGGAGCATTTCACTCTTATCGCTCATCAGGCTAGCGCTCATTGACCAAAACGGCAGGATGCAATTGTGAGTGAATGCACTAGTCCGCTTCCATGCCCCTCGTCGACCCTGGCCAAGTGGATGCACGCCAAAACAAAAGCCAAAAATCCCTCCCGCGCCTACCGCCCGCTGATTCGCAGCTGTCTGGCAGAGACGAAAGGCTTGCCTAGCGGCGAGGGCTTGTTTGGCGCACCACTGGCCTTTCACGGGTGAGAGGGCTGCCGGTGATAGCGCAATGGAGAAGCGGTAGACGCTGGCGTGAGTAAACGGGAGCTGAAGGCTGTTGAGCCCACTGCGCTCAATGGCGCGGATGCCACATCGGCCGTGGGCAGGCCATTGAATAACGCTCCCCACACGCTTAAAAGCAGCGTGCAGAAAGATGCCTTAGCGCAAACCATCCCTGTCGTCACCGACGTAGGTGCTTCCGGGGTCTTCAGCCAGCTTGCCTGCTCACTATGCTTGGCTGCCAGCCTATGATGGAGGTGCTGTGAACCCAAAAGACGTAAACGCTTCAAGGAGCGGAATTTATCAGTGTCTCTTCCCCGATAAATCGCCTGCTGATCAACACTCCCCAACCTCTAAGCTTTACTCAATCCTAAATTGTCTCTTGCCTTAACTCGTACCAGAGACTATCAATACTGCTTTCATCATCGTTACCCTCACATCCTTACTTCTTTGTCGCTGGTTTGCTTTTGGAGCGAATAACGTTACCGAACCTTCCACCGCGACACGCAACACGCAACCCCAGCCCACACGGTCCGCCCCTGCACCCGCTGGGCATTCTGCTCCTTGCAAGCACTGTGCTTCACTTGAAACGCTCGAGCGTCTGCCACCCAGTCACTGGTGTCCGCTTTCGCCCTACACCTAATCTCGCTGGTTCATCGCCACGGCTCCTGGTTAGTACAGGTCAACTGATCGACATACCAGAGGGATTATCTTTACTCGACTTGGACTACCACTGCACGGGAGTCCCCAGTGTCAGAGTGAATTCAAAAGGTCGCAGATCCCACCACTGAGTACCTGTGATCGACTATCTCCACGTTTTCAACCCTCGAACTATCACGTTTCACACCTGGATCTACGAGTAGAGTGCCTGTTGTAACACTCACATTCGTCTTCTTGTACCACCTTCTCCTCCGGTCCTTTCCACCTCACCTCCGCAACCCTCGACATCGCAATGGCAATGGCAGTCGACAACCGCCAGCAACCCCAGCTTAGCAGCATGGGCTACGATCACATGCGCTACCCCCAGCAACAACCACACTTCACCAACCCGTGGGTGTCCACCGGCGCCTCGCAGCAGCAACTGTACCAAACAACGGTCGCACCCAATGTAGACGCGCAACGGCCTACCAGCATTGCGATCCCGTTCCACAGTCTGCCAGTCACAGCTCCTCCCATGGGACAAGGTATTACTCTCCCGGACGGCACTTTCGGAACAGAGAACTTACTTGTTACGTCTGAAGATATCATGTCGCGAGGATACCCTACTGGCTATGCTACCTCTGGGTCATCACCAAACCAAACCTATGCTCCTACTTCCGCACCCTACTCTCAGGTGGAATATGGCAACACAGAAAGGAGCCCGTACGCATACCAACAGGATGCCTCCCGCCGCTCTTCACATCCGTCAGTCCCCTCAATAGCCTTCTACGAGTCCGTAGAGAGCGCAGCCCAACGACAACGCCAAAGTTCACTTGTTGACTTTAGCAGAATGAACGCACAGCAACCGCGCAACAGCTTTAGCGATGCGCTTGACGCAAGCCGTGGCATGGTTTCCCTGAGTCAGTCAGACATTACTCCTAGGAATATCTACGGCTCTCAAGGAACCAGCCGCAGCTCGACCGACTCCTACGGCTTCCCTTCCGCACACTCGACACACTCGTCAATCTCATCAGGCAGCTATGGCCCGAACGGGTACTACGGTGGTGAGGGCTCTGTGACAGATTACAGCTCTGCATCGGAGTCTGTTGATCTTGGCAACTCGCGCACTTTGCCCCGCCCCAATGCGCTCCTCGGTGCCAACATGCCTCCCGCGCCTGCGTCGATGATGAGCCAGTTCAGCTCGAAGGTCTCCTCCAGCTCGCAAAAGAAGCACAAGTGCAAGATCTGCGACAAGCGCTTCACACGACCAAGTTCGCTACAGACGCACATGTACAGCCACACTGGCGAGAAGCGTAAGCACTCCCTAGCACATCACCACCTACATCACTAACATTATGACAGCATTCGCATGCGAAGTCGATGGCTGTGGCCGCCACTTCTCCGTCGTATCCAACCTGAGGAGACATCGCAAGGTTCACAAGAACGACGGCAGCATCGACCACCCTTCACCGGAGAGCGTCGATCACTAGGTGATCACCACCTCGGTCGCACTTAGTGCCTTGCTTGTCTCGACCCCGTCCCAGGACTCGCTTCAACCGCTTCGTCGCACACGTCTTCAGTACATATAATGTTTTGAGATACCACCGTCGCGCGTTTCCTAGTCACGACCATAGATCGAAACGACAACAATCTGGGACGGTCCTTCCCTTCTACCCATCGCTGCCCACCACGGATTTTTTACTGAGATACCACCTGGCCCTCGACCCGAGAGACCACCACGGCGTTCTGGTGTTCCGAATTACGAGTATTCCGTTTCCGAGCGATTTTCAACACCCTGTAACATTACGCGTTTGTCTTATCCGGGCCTGGTCCCTTGCCGCCCGCCGTTGCTTATTTAATCTTTCGACATTGCTCGACAAGGGCTTTGACCCATAGTCGTCATGGAGCATTTTGTCATCACCATTCGCTTATACCCTTTAATATTTTAGACTCTCTTTTAGCAACCGCCCTTTCCCGACATAGAGTCGTGCGGAGGGTCGGTTAGCACAATGACGTTTGTACAGTAGTAGCTTGCAGCGCGCGCGCATAGGTGCCACCCACCGAATGGGGGTACAAGCCAGGATGGCTTTCCGACAGACACTGAGTCGTCGAGTACAGGCAGCGGGATCGAAATGACGCATCCCTCCATATTGTGGATAGGAACGCGGCTGAAATCAAAGACCCTTGTTTAATCCCATGCATACCATCTCCCGTTTTTTCTCTGTCTCGAAAACTTCCAAATTCTTCTCACCAGCTGACATAGTGACGGCAGCGGCCCTTTGGTTCGGGACCATGGCGCGGTCTCCGGTCGTCACTTGCGATACCTCGGTCGCCGGTTTAGCCAACGCGACCCTCGTCATGAGCTTGTCTCCGCAATGCCATCATTTGGCGTCCCGTGAGCGGTGGGCTTACGACAAGGGGTCAGTCTTGGCTCCCGTCATGCAGCGTCAGCCCCTTGCTAGCCGCAAGACCCTTCTTACCTCAGCGAGTGGGATGTCTGCCGCCGCACCTTGGGCCGCCAAAGGCTTTGGTTCTATGCTATCATTCGCTTTCACACCCACCGGTCCCGTCACTCATGGTAGCCCCTGCCATCAAAGTCGGAGTTGCGTACGAGGCTGAGTGGGACGCAACGATGTCACTTGTTTCACTCGAAAGCGCAAAGCCCCATAGCTGCTGACGTCGGGCTTTCTCTCTGCGTCGCGTAGGCTGCGGGACTTTTTATTTTCTCTGCTTTGCAGGGAGTGCCAATCACGATGCTCGCTTGTAACAGTGGGTCACGCGCTGGAGACGGTCCGAAAGCAGCCTGAGATGAGATCGTAGTGTGCCTGACGGCTGTAGAGTCGTGCCATTTTTCGAGTAAAGATCGTCGTAAGGACGCGACGACTTACAGCATCGCGAAACTTGAGGCAACATATCGCGTTACGAGAACGTGACGAGGCGAGTGCGTGACTCTTTCGCTCCGCTTGCTACTGGTTTCCGCCGCGCCTGTTGGTGCCCGGAGAGTGCGCTGTAATCTAGCTTGCAATACCGCCGAACCACCACTCAGGACAAAGTATCTCCGCCATGGTCCTAAACACCTGTCTTTTCGCCACCCGCTCCGGCTCCTCTATTTCGGTCGGCCTTTGAAACCGCAAACCTTGTGGCCACCACACGGAATTGCAAGCCATCATGCAAGCCAGTGTTGCGTTTTTGGCCGTTGGTTCGTAAGGGAGACACCCTTTCGCTTTGCTATCCTAATCTCCGACGATCGCGACTCCAAGTAGTACCATGCACCGACACGCTCACGAAGCGAGGGCGGAGTGCCTTAGCTGAAGCGAACTGGTGTCGTTGGGTTATAGTTCCGCATACCATGATATTCCAGGATGCGAAGTCCACAGCCTACCAGCATGCACTTCCTGCGCAGCCGTCTCACGTTAAGCGACCATGGCTGGTAGTATAATCTCAATCCTGGTCGTGTCTACGCCGCCTGAACACAACCATATGAGGCTTGGGATTGCATGCATTAATGCCCTTGCTATTCTTGATCTTGACGAAAAGAAGGGTCTCTGCAGCGGTTAACGACCAGGATGGTAGGACTATGACCATACGCCTCATCTTCACTACACATTGCGGTGCTATCATGTCATGGAGAATTGAGGAAGCAGGTTCGAAAAGCTCATTCGCTACCGCTATCCCCAGATGATGTACTATGAATCCTTCACAATCTCTGGCTGCGACAAGCGGGACTTGCACTTTGCATTCTACTTCGTGATCCACTATGCTAACCCTCGTCAAGCATGAAATCCGCTTCGCAGAGATGAAGCCGCCAGCAGAGACTACAAACACGGCTTGCGCGTAACACAATGCCAAGCCGAACTCCACCGCCATTCCTCGAAGCAAGCACCAAATTCAAGCATCAGGTAATCTCCACTACAACGCCAGCTAGTCAGCACAGATGCGTTGTCGTCCGCTGGTGGTGTAGTACGTTATCCTCCCTAAAGTGGGTCTCATATCGAGATTGAACCAACCCCGCGTTCCCAAGTCTGATCTACGACAGTTTCAGCCCTCCCGCGCCTGTTGTAAGGTATCCACACGCTGAACACGCGCAGCTCCGGGTGCCTAACCGATGCTTTTGTGCCTTCCTATTTTGTTGGTAGGCGTGTTAGATTCCGTGTCTCGGGACCCATAGGACGCGCAATCGTCCTCTGGAGCAAATTGCTCGCCTGGAGAAACTTTGGTACTCTTTTGTAATTTCAGGATTCTTGTATCCCGCCACTTTCGAAGCGAGCGGTGTCGGAGTCTTGGGATCGGTGCTCACTCGCGTCCGTAGGAAATTTTCTGTCGCTTCGTCTTGTTGCCGTCATCGTCGTCGTCGTCGGCTGCCTTCTTCTTCTTGCTTCCTCCTGGCCTCGCCCCGTTTGTAGGTTGACTCGATTCGCGCGTAGGAAAGGACGAAGTTGGAGTAGGAGCGTGCGATGGCGTCGCGGAGCCCGGTGTGGAAGATTCCTGGAGTGCAGTTAGCATCGATTCTCTGGCTGTCCATGAGCAAGCGCGGTATCTCCACGTACCCTCAGGAAGCTTGTAGAGCTCCGACTGAATATCCGGTCTGCATCACTGATGGGTGCTTTCCGTCTGGTCGCGGTGCCTGCTCCTCCTGCTGTTGTGGTAGTCGCCGCGCCCTTGATGTAGTTGTCGAAGCCCTTGATGATGTTTCCGGCGCTCGTCTCTTCGAGGTATTGCGTCTCGACTCGGAGGATGTTGTCCTCTAGTTGTAGCTGCCATGGAAAGTCAACACGCAAGTTCACAAACGCGTCATTGGCTGTACTGACCAGACTGTTGTCGATGATGCGCTTCTTGTTGAGCGATTCGCGCAAGTCGCGTCGCAGTCTCTCGTAGTAGGGCATTCCGCGCGAGCTGTCTGCGCCCGTGTTGTTTGCGCTTCCTGGCGCCGCGTTTTCGGCCATAGTGATACTTCGGATGTTGGCTTTTGGTAATTCCGGAGGTAGAGGTTCACGGCTGCAGCAGTTGTCGTCGGTCCCTAGTCCGGTAGATCCCAGGTAAACGGTCGCGGTTGCCTTTGGGTGAACGCGGAGGCTAGCGTTGGTGAGCTCGGGCCTCTTCAGCAAACGCAACTTCTAGATCTCGAGCAACGATGCCATCGCTCCACACCTCCTTCCGTTCTCCCGCCTAGCTGCCATCTGTCGCCTGTACAGTCGCCGACACCTTCCGCTTACCAACGTCGCGTATACCTGCTCCGGACGCGCTCAAGCACCCCGCGCCGAACCTCCGACCTCTCAGTCGCAACAACAAATCAGAGAGACCTTGCCCGCGTGACAGCGACAGAATCTCTCCCAATCACCCAAGCAGCAGGCCCATCCTACTGTGTTTGCGACTTCACAAACATCGTCGACGGTTTTACCAAGACAACAACAATCTTGCGCCCGGTGTATACCAAACCTCGAGGATTGCTGCCTGAACCATGGCAATGGACGCCAAAGAGATTGAGCTCCGTGGCAAGGCCATCGGAAAAGCCGTGGCCGAGGGCGAGCCAAGCGCTTCTGTAATCAAGCTGCTCAACGACTTGAAGACGGGTGTGCAAGCGACCGAGGATCTCTTGCGCTCAACCCGCATTGGTGTCACCATCAATCGTCTGCGATCGCACAAGGACCCGGCTGTACAAAAGCTGGCGACAGAACTGGTAGCAAAGTGGAGGGACGAGGTCAAGAAGAAGCAGCCACCCAAGATGAATGGTCCCGCAAAAGCAGCCGCGAACGGAGGTGCAGCATCTTCGCCAGCTCCTCCACCCTCAGGGACTGCGTCACCAGCCCCCAGCCTGGCCAAGAAGAAGCACGACGTCGCCGCCGACAAGCGCAATCACAAGACCGACAAGGTCAAATATCAGGTCACCGGGGACGAGGCGCGCGACAACTGCGTAAGGCTGATGTACGATGGCCTGGCCTTTATGAGTGAAGCGAGTAAGTTGGAGCATATGGTGTACCTTGTACTTGACTGACATGTGCAGTGCCGGACGAGATCCTCGGTGTCGCGAAGCAAGTCGAAGCCGCCGCCTACAGTAACGCAGGTAGCGTAAACAATACCTACAAGGAAAAGATGCGCTCTCTCTTCCAGAACCTCAAGAACAAATCGAACCCTCAACTCCGCAGGCGCGTATTCAGCGGAGACATACCCGCCAAGCAGTTTGTCGTCATGACACACGACGAAATGAAATCGGATGCGCGCAAAAAAGAGGACGAGGAGTTGGAGAAGCTCAACATGAACCAAGCCATGGTTGCACAAGTCGAAAAAGCCATCTCCAAGGAGTTCCAGTGCGGAAAGTGCAAGCAGAAGATGGTTAGCTACAGTCAGGCACAGACTAGGTCCGCTGATGAACCTATGACTACGTTCTGCGAGTGCATGAACTGTGGTAACCGGTGGAAGTTCTCATAGACGGTGGTCGATTGTGTTCACGTGTGGTGCAGATTGTACGCGTGCGTGGTGTATCAGTATAGCGGGTTGCGGCAAACATTGAGTAGCGGGCGTTTATAAAGGTGGCATCGAGGGCGTCGGTCCATTGCGGAAGAGTGTCTGCGTTTCGACTTTTCTAGTCTAATCTGCGGAGGAAAAAAGCAGATGCAAGCTTCTCTTCTTTCGGCACTGATGGATATGGTTACTATATCAAATATAATTTGGACCCAATTCTTTCACAACCATTGCTTCTTTCATCCACTTCTCTAGCATGTGTTTGCCATATTCTTGGGTTCTCTGAAGGTTACTTAGACTTGATGTAAGAACAGTCTTCTTTCTAGATGACCATGTGAAGGCACTTGTATGTATAGATTTGCTCTACAAATGGAGACCAGCATATCTATCGCCAATAGGAGTAACTCCACCAATATGAGCTCAGGTCTTGTTCGGACTTGAGGCCCCATCTCCTTGTTATTACCTCTCTCGCTACACAGAAGCTCTCATGTTTTGACACGATTTGAGCCGTCTTTCTTCCCTTGCTTCGAGTCTGTTGAGCTACAACAAACCTTTTGAGACTTCAAAATTTTTCCTCCGCGTTGTAAGAGTAGATGATCCCTGGAAATCACAAGAAATCAAAGTCTCGAAAATTTCCCCTGTCAAACGATAGACCACATGCAAAGCCATCTTGATATCACCGGCCAAGCACAGCACTGTCGAGGTACGAAATGAACACCTTCCCCGTGCACAACCCAATAGATGTCAGAACGATAACAACGAAGAGGTCATAGCAGCTCGAGAAACAGTATAATTCGCTATTCTTGTCGTGGCCATGGACTCGCAGTTTTGCTCAAACGAGTACGCTACAACGGTATTCCGAAGATTGAATATGCACAATACACCCGCCTAATCCATGCGGGGTGGTAATTACAACGCCATCGTCAAGTTAACAAGACATAGATAGAGAGAGACTGTGAGAGGAAAGAAAAAGGTAACTATGCAATGCACCGCCGACGCTTTGGTTTTCGTCCCCATCCGCTCAGAAGAGACTCCAACAGATGAACTTGTTGGATCCAAAGCTGACAACGCAACAATCAACGACACTCGGTTACGGCCCGGCATTCCAAGTCTCCTAGAACTTGAACGTGCTCTTCTTCCGCCCTAGACTGAAGCGGTTCTTGCCGTCCTTGTCGGTGTCGGTGGTGGGTGTATCGGGCGGGTTGTGCTCGTCTGTCGTACCGTCGTGCTTGTCCTTGCCTCCGGACCAGAATTTGGGTTTGGCTTTGAGACTCATTGATGTGTGCCTAAAACGACTCAATCCGCTCATACCCTTGACGCTGCCAAAGCCATTCGCAGCCTTGTCCTTCTCCCCAACCGCACTTGGAGGTGGTGGTACAACCTCCCCACTCGCGACGCGCTTCTTCTCTTCTTCAGCTGCTGATGTTTTGCTGGCTTCGAGTGCTGCACGGAGGTCATCTTCTTGTTTGCGGTAGTTTTCGCGCCGTTGTATTTCCATCTCTTTGCGCTTTTCCCTCGCTTGCCTTTCAAGCTCCTTCTCCTGAGCCTTGCGTTCCTTTTCTTCTTTGCTCTTACCGAAGAGCCCGAGATTGCTTTTGCGCGGGGCGAGTATGGGAACCTGAGTTGTGGTATGTTCGACTGGGTGATGGTCGGTGTTCGTTTGAACCTGTGCAAGCGGTGGGGCAGTCGCTGCATGGTCGAGGCTTGCGAACTTGTCGGCCTCTTCCATCGTGGGGGTGGTCGCGTTGTGGAAGGTATGATATGACTGGCCGTTGACACCGTTCGCTTTCGGTGTTGTGACTTCTTCCTGTGCCATCTTGGCAGCCTGCTCTGCTTCGGCGAGAGCGTCGGCTTCTTGCTCCTTCATCATGGCTTCTTCTGTTGTCTCCTGGTAAAACAAGACATATGCACAAGCCAGCACATTCTCTCCACCGAAAAAGTTCCTGACGTAGGCCTTGTCTACCGGCTCAACCATCTCGTCGTCGAACAATAGCCAGCCTCGATCCTGCGTCTTGATGATGGAGACGTAGTGACCATGATAGGGCCCACCTCCTATGTGCACCACAACTGCATATAGCTCGTATAGTCTGTCTGGGTCTTCTGCTTCATCGGTGGTGTTGAACAGCCGGAGGTAGAAGGGGTATACGACGCGGTGGAAGAGCTTTTGCAGGCGCTGGAGATCCTCTGTATACTTAAAACGCTTGAGATGCAAGGCCAGGATTTTGGGCAATCGCTTGATCTTCATCCTCTTTTCCGCCTCTTGCAGGCCTCCACAGTTGTCGCAATGGAATTTGTTCCGTTCACACAACATCTCCTCTTCTGAGAATTTGCGCAAACAGCTCGTCACTGACGAGTGCTGTTCCAGATCGACAGACAGGTCCAGGAATGCCTCGTCTCGCTGTGATGTGTTTTCGCATGTGAGGCATCGTGTTTCGGACGTTAATGTGCCTTCAAACAGCTCGTGTACCCACCCAGAGTTTGACTTTGCAGAGGCCACCGAGTTCCGCGCGGTCACTACTTGGCCATCCGTTACAGTCTCGCCGTCCTCGGTTATCTCTTCCACTTGGGCTGGGCGACTCTTGGAGTAATTCTCAACATTATCTACGACCTCGTTCAGCAGCAAGTTCAGGAACTCGTGTGCATCCTGGTGCATAGGTGTCCGGAACATCTCATTGTCCCGCCGCAATATCTCGAGAAGTTTGTGTGGGCTGACGACGCCTATGCGTGATCTGTGTGCTATGACGGCCTCGAATATATCTTTCAGCGATGAAAATAGCGATTCGTTCATGCCATATGCGTTTGCGTTCTCGTAGTCCATCTGCAGAACCGGACCGGCTGCCAGAGCCTGCTTCTTCTTGTACTCTGGCGAGTCTTTGTTATCCTCGGGCTTGGTGCCTGGGGGCTGGTTCGTCGCGCCTGGCGTGGTTGCTGGCTTTGCGGGACTTTTGGCATTTGGGCTGGAGAGTGAGGTGCGCCCCGTGGGCGAGAGGGCTGTACTCTGGCCATTTGGGAGGTTTGTGTTGAGTTTGAGGGGGCCTGACGTGGGCCTCTCGAGGGCTTCTGGGGGCGAGCGCGCGGGAAAGTTGATGACCTGTTCTCGAAAGGGCACTGAGTAGTATAGACACTGGACTATCGAGTTGCAGTAGCTGGCGGGCAGTCAGTATGTGTCGGGACGGGAGTGGACGAGACGTGTGCATACCATGTGCTTCCAAACTAGAGCATAGCGCGGTCAGCAGGCGGCTCGCGAAGGGCGGTTACGTAGCCAGACTTACATTCTCAAAGCCAAAGAACTTGTCGCTGCCGTCGCCGCGCAGAGGGCCCGCGTTGAGCAGCAGCTTCTCGAGCGGCGTCACCTCGGGCGCGTTGGGGTCTTTCCTGACGGGTATGCTGCCGGTCGCTGGGCTCAACGGCGGCTGTGGTATGTCAGTCAGGGCCAGCCATTGCCGATGGACGCGCGACTCACAGCACCGGACTTGATGCGACT